TGATTTTAGTAAATGGATCAAATAATGTAAGATCTGAAGGGCTGGTCCCAGGCTGGTATAGCAAGCATCCATAAGAACCACCAGTGGCAAATAAGCCAATACTGAAAGCTGCCAGAAGTGATTGTGGAAGTTACATAAACACTAAATATGTCCCTTTTCCATTTTATGTCTCCCATGATAAACTGTTATGAGACACACACATGGCTTGAAACAGATAATTACTGATAATCCTGACTGGTGGGAGAAGGAACCATCTGGCAGATGGAAAATAAGAAGGTGCCAAGAATTTAGCAGAGTAGGGGACTTGTTAGGAATTTATGCATAGAGGTCTGAAGAAAGGAGTATTTAGACAAAAGGTTGGCTATTCTATCTATACCCAAAACAAATCGGAACACCAAAAGTAACCAAAATAATTACAAAAACTATTCCTGTTTGAAATTCATCTTGAAATTATAAGCAAAACCAGTGAATCTAAGACTGTGTTGGTAGTGAGGAATTCCTTCTGCATATCACAATTAATTGCAAATAGTTACAGCACACAGCATCAGTGCATTTTATCTTATATCCTTCAGGTTTCTATCCTCTCTGTTTTTAACATGCAAATGCCTTTATTCATCCTCTCCTCACCTTGCTGCATGGTATCATCTGTTTCTTTCCATTTTCCTTAACATTATTTATTTCTTCTTATAGCAGAGAAAAGCAAATTCTGATAGACACCACTTCGTATTCCTTTCCTTTCTTCTAAGTGAATTTCTCTTCCCTCTACTCTCCTCTTTATCACTCCTGGGTAAAACAAGGGATATTGCTGGATGCAGCATTCTAATTGTGAACTCACATTTTTCCACTGAGATCACTACTTATTAACCATTTTGTTGCTGACCATTCGCAACAGTGAGCTGCAGCCAACATCTATTGCAGGGGAAGTGAGGACATGACCCACATCAGTAGTCCTAGGCAGACCACAAAATTAAGGGACAAGAAATTTATGTAACATAATCAGTGATTTGGGGCCAGTTTTGCTGAAGCATCATGATTTACCACAAGGACCGTCAAGCACTGCAACAGGTTGCTGAGGGAGATTGTGCAGTCTTTGTCCTTGAAGGTTTCCAAGACCCACTAGGATAAGGCCTGGAGAACCTAGTTTTATCTCGTAAGCTGGCCTTGTTTTGAGCAGGAGGTTGGAGCAGAAACCTCCTGAGGGCCCTCCCAATATGAATTGATGAGACCATGATTTTAGGAGGCACCCTGAAATATGACCCCACTGACTCCTACATAATAGTCCCATTCCAATGAAAATGACATGTGGAGGTATTCTTGAAAATCCCACTTAAAGCTTACTAGCATCTTCAGAGTCCTTAAAATTGTACCTGCAGGACCCCTTCCAGTTAGCAACTTCAGCTTCCACTAATGCTGTTAGAAACAGGTTCCTCAGCAGCTTCTATCAGCCTTCCTTGCTCAGATTGCTTTGTTAATAATTTTTCATTTGAGGAGTTCCTCCAATCCGATTTTCATCTTGTTTTTCAGCGGGAAAGTCCTATTTTCATTCAAACCCCATCAGAATAATGCCATTATATCCAGACACAAGTTTGTGGTACCTCATACTGAAAGACCCACAGGCTGTCCTGGCTACTCACCAACTTCTCTGATAGGAACAAAGAGATGGTAACCTACTGCTCGACCTCAATTCCCTTCTCACCACCCTGTTCATAACAAGCATATTCCTGTATCAGACACTGAAGTGGACACCAGTGATCTCACCCACATCAGTGGGTGTAAATGGGTCCCTTACATACAGAATTTTCTTCTGCGAAGGAATACGCCATATATTTTTACATGCATTTTACAGCTTTGTGTTTCACTGCAGAAGCAGATGATTCTTTAATTCTAGTTCTCCCATTTGCAAGGCCATTTATATTATGATTTATTTCTTTTCATAGCTTTCATGGTATTGATGTGTCTGAGGAACATTGGCTCTTCATGCATCAAGGGAAGACAGGACACCTTATGTTTCACACTGATTCTCGTTGGGTTTGCATTGATCCAAACACTAAACACTCAATAACACAGGCCCATTCTTGTGATCCTTTCACGATCTGATGATGCAGGGAAGCCCAAGCCCCAAAGAAAAAGAAATACAAGGCAATTTTCCAACATTCTAAGTTAAAACAGTCTGTATTGTACAGAGTCTATGCATTGTCTTTGCAGAATTGGTAACTTATGTGAAGAATCATGGATGTCATGACAGCCAAGAGCTCTTATTTAAACAAATTAACAGAACTGATTTGATAGCAGTGAATCCAAACAAAACACATAAACTTATTTTTTACTTTAAATGTGTGCAACATAATGAATATTGCTGAAATGTTATTCCATGTTTTTTTTTATTTTAGAACATGTGCACATTTTCATAAGATCTTGCTCAGGAGCTCTGATACAAAATGTAAACCACATCCAATGACTGCCAGGGTAACTAGCAGAAAGCACTGGCCATCAAAGTTGGATACATCAATGGCAAGCAGTCTCACGCTCACTTACAGGCTCCAAAGTAAATCTGCTTGCCTTATTTATATGCATAATTCCAGCAGAGTCATATTTACCCAGGTACAACACCCTTAATTGAAATGGCACTAGAATAAGAACATTTTTGATCCATTTGATTAAGTAACACAAGGAGCATTTGCCCACCATTCAGTTTGTTCATATCAAGCAGCCCCACACGATTCAACACAATTGGAATTCACCACTCCAAAGAGACCCATGCCTGCACTTTAAGGGGTGCACAGGAGCAAAACTGAAACACAGACTGTAAGACCACCCTTTGCAGTGTGCAAAAGCTCATGTTAAACACCCTTCACTTTCAAGGACACTGAAAACACACCACAGCAATTAGAAAAGAAGGGGGAAATAAAGAATAATCCCACTCTTCTCATGGCCTACAGGATGAAAAACACTCATTTCAGAATTGATTATAACCACCAGTGTTTCATCTCTAGAGATCCAAGTTCAAATCTTAACTGAAAAGCAAGGTTTGTGGTTTTAAATTGAGTCAGTTATGTTCCTCTTCCCAGTCAGAGCATGGAGCTTAACACCTGACAGATTACAAAGTGATCGGAAAAATGAAGAACTTCCTCCTTTTGTTAGAAAGACTGAAAGATACTTTATCTAACCATTTTTTCATTATCACCATTTAGGTCAGCTGCAGCAACTTGCACACTTTTACACGTCTTGTGTTTTGATTCAGTGGAAGACAGAAGGTTTTCCTGTGTTTTCATGCACTGAGTGATCATTACCATTTACAAGTTGCACAATTTTCTGGTTTTGTTCACAGCAGAAACCACCACGTAGTTGTGCACTGGCCTTCCTGTTCCATTGAAACGACGTGCCAAGTCTTCAAAACAGTCTCCCTCCCAGTTCAGTGCAACTTAGTGCACCCTGTATCTTGTGTATGCTATTGATTCTTCACTAATACAGGCATTAGCTCCAGTTGAAGAAGCACACTGTAATTATTAAATCAGACAGAAAGCAAACCCAGGCACTATTTTTAAGCGTATGAGTGCTTACTTCAAGTATTCCAACCTCAGCTAGATGTCCCTTCTCACGACAGGCAGAGGTCTTTCCTAACCGTGTTCATAATCTTTCTGATACCCTATTTTTCTCTATAATTTTCCACATTTAAAACTTTTTTTTTTCAACTATGTTTGGCTTTTTTTTATTCCTCTAATCCTCTTTTCTGCATATAAAAAAGGACTAAAAATGGCCTCTTTTAACTGCCAGTTGTTCACATACTTATTAATGGAGCAGCATTAAACATAGGGCTTAGCCCACCTGCATTTTACACAAGCAGAGTCCCATTCGCTTCTCCTGAAGCTTTACCTGAACAAAATTGCAGCCCTTTATTTTCACAAAATGAGCTTTGCATTACTTCTTCTGTTCACCAAAACATGCCCAGGTACAACTGTACAGTATGTTGGGTAATTCCTTGCTGCATTGTGGTAGGTGGAGCTCAAATTATGGACCAGATTCAGATGCTGTAACTCTACTGGCACACCGTTCATATCAGTGAAGTGAAGCAGATGCTTGCAATGCACCATTGTTAGAAGACCAGTGAGTGCTCTCTCAGAACGACAGGATGACCTTTTTAATATAATTAGAATCCAAAGGAGGTTTTTGGAAGCCAAGTCTGTTGGGCTCATCTATTTCACACTCCCAGAGGCAATTAATTCCTGTTCACTTTAGTCACCCAGAAAACTTTCCCGGAAGAGACCACGGAATTTTGCACACATAAACGACCGTGCTTCAGCCCCCAAAATCAAAAGAGCTTATGCTCTCAACACACTGTCATGAGAAAGCCCCATTTGGAAACCGCAGCGAAGTTTTACACTTGAGACAGCGGGAGCCTAAATCATGGCCCAGTGTCCCAGCCCGGAGGGGAAGCTGAGCTCGCTTCCCCGCGGGCGGCACAGCGCTCTGCAGAAGCTCTGCAGCTCCCCGGGCGCTCGCCCGGCCGACAGCAGAGCTGGCATACACCACGCGCAGCCGTTACGAGGCAGACAGACAGGGCTGTGCGGTGGGTAGCAGAGGTCCTTGATGAAGCAGTGGATGGCTAGAAAGCAAGCAACATGCTCTGTAAGCAGACCAGATTTGCAAGCACTGCCTCAGGACACACTGACTGAAAAAAAAAAAAAGAAAAAAACCCACAGGGTACAGCCCAAACCCAGACGTCCCAAATCCACTCAGCACCGCATCAGGATATGCACAGCGATAACACAAACCACCTCCTTCCACAACAACAGAAGGACCTTAATCTGTATTTTCAATACCAAATTAACTATCCCTCCCATTTTTAGCACTGCTATCTGGAATTTGGGAATACATCCTAATAGGCCAATTATAAAATCTCCCATTGATAGATATTATTTGTGTTATTTGCACTGATGGTGAAGATGAACTGAGGGAATGGACATGTGTAATGCAGTCATCCAGCAAGTGCATAGGCAACCTTATGCAATAATCTTTTAACTAGTTTATTAAATGTTTCCTTTTCAAAGTTCAACATCTAATGCCAAAATTTCATCAAAAACTCAAATCGCTTAGTAGCCGGTTATCACCTGTTTAACTTAAAGTACTAATACAACAAATAGACATATTACACATCACTAAAATTTCACACATACCCACACACACACTTACCAGCATCCTGTTTATATCAATTTATTTTCACAAATCAATTTCCTTTTTCCTATTCATACTCTTCACATTTTCTGAAGGCACAACACCCAAATAGGCAATGTAAAATGTACTTCCTGTAGAAAAGTCTATAGTCTCCAAAGAGAAGTTTGGCAAAACCACTTTTGTTTAAAAACTCAAGTTCCAAAATGAGCCTGCAAAGAGCATCAGAGAACACTGCCAAGATTAAAAACTGCTTGAGGTGTCTGCACTTCTCATATGCAACACACCACTTAACCTTTAATAAACCAGGACTTTTTCAGGAAATTATAAAAGCAGAAGCGGTAAAATCTCTTTTTTTATTTTTTTTTCTCCTCAAGTTTTAACGATGGGACAGAGTCTCCAGGCAAAGCTCCCAGAAAGAGCCAGACCACCATCTGGCTCCACCGTAGAGCAATGACAATTCACAAGAAACGAGTATCTAACCAGCGCTCTGAAGTCAAACGCTAGGTTTACTCTGTAAAAGCTCCATTATAGCTATGAACACACAGCTGCACGTTTCCTCCCTCCTTGTACATAAATATACCCTCAGACATTTATACAAAGGGGAAAAATAAATCATTTTATCCAATTTTCTATGCTTCCCTGTTATGCCTGTTACCAATCACCGTTCAAGAAATACGTTACATATCTTATGTATTGTTAGCACTATAGAATATATATAATATATATAATTTTATTTTTGTTTTCACACATGCTAATGTTTCCAGTATGATACATGTCTTTTTAAATCCTGCACTTCTTGTCACGCTGCCGATCCGCTTCTATTTGACAGTGACTCCTGGACATACATGTCAAGACAAAAATAAATACTGCTATGATGGCAAACGTTTTAGAACTCTCAGGACACTAATACAGTGGCACTTGAAAGACTTTTTAAATACAACAAAAAGACAATAGTTAAATAGAAACCTGTTTGACATAGCCATAAAACCTGCACCACATTTGTGAGATCTGTACTTGTTTCTGCAAGAGCAGCTCATCTTTGAACACGTCAAACGTTGCACTCCAGCCCTCCACCCATACCCTTTAAAAAGTCCACATTGCTATTTTAAGCAAGCATCCCCTCCAGCTGAACATACGCAACGCTGTAATTCCCAAACAATTGAGGTAATTATAAAAATGAATATCATTTATTGGGTTTTTTTTATTACTATCATGTCTGAACATTTGCTTTCATACAAAAGTCTGATTTTCAGTGTTATGCTTTCCAAGGGCATCCCCTCCGCACCAAGGGAAATAAAGATGTGTTAGGAATTGTGCAAGAGTTTTTGTTACCATCTTCAAACCCACAAGAACTCCATAAGCAAGATTTTGGTACAGAATCACTGCCTGGCATTTTAGAGAACGGGAAAGGGGCTTTACACATATTTGCAGTTCCACTTTATTTTATTTTTTTAATCGCATCTAACCCAATGCAAGGCAGGGGCGGGGAGGGGGATGAGAAAAAAAAAAAAAAGAAAGAAAGAAAGAAATCATCACATTACTGTATGTTACCCTTCAGCAGTCTTGGGAGGAAATCGGAAACCAGGTTGCTTTTCCCAGCTCCCTCCCTCACTCAAGCCAGCCGGAGCGGCTCCTCTCTCCCTGGCAGGGCTTAGCTGCCCCCAAGAGCGGTCGGCTTCCTGAGCAACGTTCTGCTGAGGTCCTTCACCTCTTCGGGGCTGCCGACCCTCTCGTAGCCCAGCAGGGCCATGGGCTGGTGGCAGTACTCCTCGACCTGCTTGATCTGCTGGTAGCTGAGCGCAGTCCTCCAGGCGCTCAGCGCCTGGGTGGCATTCCTGGCCGACACCACGAAGGGCTTGGAGGAGTAGCCGGGGCCACTGGTCATGTTGAGGGCGAACTTCTCCATCTCTGGGCTGACCGCCAGGTTGACGAAGCCGTACACCTGCCGCAGGGTCTTGATGGGCTCGACCACCAGGTCCTCGTAGCGCACAGCCATGTAGTTGCCCTGGAGCCAGTCAGGGGGGTGCAGAGCAGTCTGCAGGGTCTTGGCCATGCTGCTGCAGATGACCTCCATGGCACCCAGGGCATGGTAGTCCGAGCCGCCCCCCCCCTCCTTCTTTCCACCCAGCTTGTGGCCAGCATCAAGGAAGGGCATGCGGTGGATGCGGGGGTCCCGGCTCCTCACCACCTGCAGGCTCTCCCGGATAAGGCCGTGCCGGGACTTGATGCGGGAGCTGGCGACGGCCCGGGGGTCCCGCACCAGGTGGATGACTTTGAGGTCCAGGGTCGGGTCCCGCATGAGCGGGGCGAGGACGGCCAGGTCGAAGACGCGGACGCCCTTGATGACCAGCGTGCGATACTTGTGGCATTCCTCCTGGAAGCGGCTGAGGCGCTGCGGGGGACACTTCTTGCACACCCGGTCATCCACCATGCCCACCACCTCCTTGCGGTAGGCCGGGCAGAGGGGCGAGGAGCAGATGACCTTGTTGGTGGCCGCCCCGAAGATGCCCAGCGTGGTGAGGTTCTTGCCAGCGCCCGCCGTGCTGTAGAGCTGGAAGACGGAGAGGTCGCAGCGGTACAGGGAGCTCAGCATGTCGCGGGCCGCCCCTTGCAGCGAGACGGCGTCCCCAGGGTACAGCTTCTGCCAGACGTGCCACACCGGCTCGTAGAGGAAGAAGACCTCGGGGTTCTGGTTGAAGAGCTCCCCGAAGAAGGACGACCCCGAGCGCCAGGTGGTGAAGACATAGACCAGCTGCCGCCGGGCGCCCGCCGGACCGCGGCTCCCGG